TGGGCAGGAAGGGGGTATAAGTGCCCTGTAGGCAAGTGGTTAAAGGGTGCCTTGACTGGTAAATGGTTGAGAAACTCTGCTCCAGACCATCACTGACACCTTCCACCTCCAGACACCTTCACTGTGAAGACACACATTATTTGACCCCCGGGGAAGGATTGGGGTCCCCCTGAGCCCTCTGCAGAGACCACCTGTCTCTCGGGGTGGAGCCCTGACCTAGGATATAATAGAAGTGTGCCTCCTTGGTTTGAGGTCAAGGGCCACATCAGAGGGCTCCGAGGAACATGTGTGGTCCACAGGCTACAGGTTGAGCACCCCTGAGACTATTTATGGGATTCATTTTGCTTGGGATGAGATTGGAGAGAAAATTATAAAGGGGAACCGAAGAAGAAAAACCCTCCACATGCGAAAGTGGAAACAGGGAAGGGTTTGGAGGTACATAGATTGTCATAGTGAAAGGAAGTCTGTAAAAGACAATATTCAATATTTCTGGTCCCTACAAATGCTTCAAATTCAAACATATATTGAAGCAAATCAAAGACAATGGGTCCCCTAAGTCCTCACACCTAGCAGCCAATCAGAAGCAGGGGTAGGACTTACCTCTTACCTTGAGGAAGATGCTGCAGACAGGCCACCGAGTTGGCTAAAAACTGGACACATGTTTGTCTTATCTCTGCATACAATTATCCTTTGGGGTTTGGATTGAAGTAGAATTCGGTTCATACTTTGCCTCTTCGGTGAACAGATGAAGTAATCGAGGGGTTCTCCTCCATCTGCAGCATGAAGTGATACATTCAGCAACCGTGTTACTATTACTGCTAAATGCGACAGCTTCCTGCTCAGGCTGGTTGTTAGGAAGCCAGCGGCTGGCGACTTCCTAGTAACCAGTCATGCATCCCCACCAAGCCCATTCAGCTGTCAGGGAGGATTCCAGCTGACAGATGAATGTAAAACAAAGGACGGGGATGGTGGCATATTCGATCAATAGCCATGGCCACATTTGGTCTTTGTTAACAACCGGCCTCCTTCTGTTAGAAGAGTGGGTGATGTGTGGCAGAAGCTTCTCATGTTGGCCCTGAGATGCCAGGATAGTAGAAGCACCCTCCCCCCCCAACCCAAAATGACCCCTTTTTGGAAAGTAAACACTGCAAGGTATTTGCTAAGGGGCATGGCGAGTATTTTGCAGATCTCATTTATTGCTGCAGGTTTTTGGAAAATGAAGAAAGAAAACGAAAATTTAATTTTTTTCTTTTCTTTTTTTTCTTTTCCAAAACCCTGTGAAAAAAAATATATATCTGCAAAATGCTTACCATGCCTCTTATCAAATTCCTTGGGGTGTCTACTTTCCAGAAAGGGGTCATTTGGGATTTTTTGTACTATCCTGACATTTTAGGGCCTCCGAAACTGGGAAAGGTAGTGAGGAAGTGACATGAGGAAATATGCTTTGAAAGCCTGAAGGTGGTCATTGGATTTTGGGGGCCTGTATGTGGAGAGGCTGCCAAAAAGTCTCTCACATGTGGTATCTCCAAACTCATTAGAAGTGGCAGCATGTGTTTTGGGGTGTTATTCCACATATATCCATGGTGTGTGTGAACAACATATCATTTAATTGACAACTTTGTGTAGAAAAAATACATAAACAAGATATCTGTCATTTTCCAAACATTTGTTGCAAAAAAATAAAATCTTCCATGGACTCAACATTACTTCTCTTAAAATTCCTTGTGGTGTCTACTTTCCAAAAAGGGATCATTTTGGGGGGGGGGGGGTTTGTACAATCCTGGCATTTTAGGGCCTCCGAAACTGTAATAAGTAGTGGGGAAGTGATATGAGGAAATATTCCCTTAGAAAGCCTGTGTCAAGGTCCTACCTTTTCCCTGAGGTTATGTTACTCCATGTGCTGGCGTCCATCATGGATTCTGCTGTGCATGGTGGGAATCCTTTTATGCCTTCAGGTCTCTGAGGTCCATCCCCCAGGGGGGTGTGGCTGATGACATATAAGCCTGTGGCCCGCACATGCTCTTTGCACTTGTGTCTTGTGTCTTTGTGTTCCTACAGCTCTGTGTATACGCTCGTAACTCTTCTGGTATCTGACTCGGCTTGTGATTTAGACCATTCTCTGTGTTTTCCTTCGATCTGACCTTCCGTTGCTGAACCCGGCCCGTGACCTGCGATTCTCTTTCTACTGTTCTGTACCGTTTTGTCCCGTTGTTGTCGACTACGCTATTGTCATTCTCACCAGCTACACGCCATTGGCGGCGGCCATTACCGCAGCCGGGGTGTCTCGGGGGCCGCGACCTGGTTCCTGGCTGCGTCAAGTCCATCCCCACCATCAGGGGCCCTGGTGAAGGGCAGCCTGGGACTTAGACTCCGTGCCCTGAGGGACTTCGGTCTGTTGGTGGTGGTTGTCGTCAGCCAGTGCGTTACCCTGCCACTAGGCCTACCTGTCAGTTCCACAGCCCTGCCCTGACAGCCTGAAGATGATTATTGGATTTTGGGGGCCTGTATGAGGATAGGCTGTCAAAACGTCTCCCACATGTGGTATCCCCATACTTGGGAGAAGTAGTAGTATGTGATTTGGGGTGTTATTCCATGTATAGCCATGTCATAAGTGAACAATATGTCATTTAAGTGAAAAGTTTGTGTAACAACAAAAAACAATTGAGTACTGTCCGTGATACTTTTTTTATTTGCACTAACATACAATTTTGAGGACCTCAAAATTGTATGTTAGTGCAAATAAAAAAAAGTATCACGGACAGTACTCAACTGTTTCTGTTGCAAATACACTAATTCGGCTACAATCACCTGTAACAACAAAAAAAAATTAATTTTCCAAAAATTTGTAGCAAAAAAATAAAATCTTCCATGGACTCAACATGCCTCTCAGCAAGTTCTTTGGGGTGTCTACTTTCCAAAAAGTGGTCATTTGGGGGATGTTTGTACTGGACATTTTAGCACCTCAAGAAATGTGATATTCAGTCAGAAAGTAAAAGCTGCATAAATTCCAATATATACAATATACCATAGTCTGTAGATGCTATAACTTTCACATAAACCAATTAATATGTACGTTATTTTTTTTTTTTGTTTACCAAAGACATATAGCATAATACATTTTGGCCTAAATGAATTACTAAATTTGAGTTTATTGGATATTTTTTATATCAGAAAGTAGAAAATATTATTTTCAAAATTTTCAGTCTTTTTTCATTTATATCACAAAAAATAAAAAAAACAGTGGTAATCAAACACCACCAAAAGAAAGTTCTGTTTGTGTGAAAAAAAAGGACATAAATTTAGTTTGGGTACAGCATTGCATGGCTGCAGAATTGCCAGCTGAAATGGAGAGTAGCAAATAATGATGTTAGGAATGGACTTGCCAGTAGTGGTGGGACTCACCTGCCTTGTGGGCTGCAGTACCAGGGCTGGCCAGCGGGTGCTCCCAGCAATCAGAGACTCAACCTTGCAGTCAGCCAAACACCTGAAACTGCTTATGCAGGTGTATTTAAGTGATGGCCAGACCTGCAGTCTTTGCCTTGGTGTGTGTGGTTTTCCTGGGCCCTGTATCTTGTAATCCTGCATTCTTGTTCCTGTTCCTGTGTTCCTGCTAGTACGTTTCCTTGTTGCCAAACTCTGCCTGTTCTGATTACGCTGACCCTCTCCTGCTCTGACCCGGCTCGTTCCTGACCATCCCTCTGCCTGACCCTCTGTACCACGCTGCCGCTACCTGCTGAAACTGGCTTGTGACCCCGACTATTCTCCGCTTGCTCCCCCTGTACCTACCTGCCCGATTGTTATTGACCCGATTGTTGACTATGACCCGGCCTGCCTGACGACGCTTTGCATTGTATGTACTGTTATCTGTGGGTGGTTTGGTTTGGTTTGTTTGCACTGTGTTATGTTTTTAGTATTGCACTGCGTTTTATGTATTGTTAGTGTTAATAAATTATATTGTTTATAACATATCTGAAGTCTGCGTTTCCCTGCGTCAGTTCACATACCTCTGGTCATACCCGGGAGCCCTGACATTACACCAAGGCCAATCCTGACCAGAAGTGGCTGCACAGGGAAGCCATCTTGGCTTGTTGATGGGAAGGATGGATCTGGATGAGGTTGTGTATTTATATCTGCTAGTGTTTGATGACAGGGAGTATGCTTATCAGACTCTGAAGGAGTATACCCGGGATGAACTGCTAGAATGTATACGGCTCGCTCATGTTCTAGTAGATCAGGGCACAGTGTTCTCTGAGGTGCAGCCATTGATTCAGGTTTGTGTAGAGTTGGTTTCATCTGGTACCCCCGACAATGCAGGGATGAATTTTTGCCACCATTTAGTGCCGACCAGGTAGAGTCCCTCGTATGGTTATTAGAGGATGATGTGGATTACTTTCTGGAGCGTTATGCTGCATGTTCACCACAGATACTAAGAGATTGTATAAACGCAGTGCAGTCTTTGGTCAGACAGGCTTTGTGTAAGCTCAGCTTTGTTCAACCCATACTGCAGACATGGTCAGATTTGTTGCACCCAGCCTCAGTCAGCTTACAAAAACCCAGTCCTGCTTCTAATCTATTTCCTCAAAGCTCTATTCCTGCATTCCCAACAACACCCCCAGTGACGGCCCAGTATACCCTGCTATCTACCGCATGTCAGTCCCCTGTTCCCACTCGCTGCACCTATCCTGCCTTTAACCCTGTAAAGAAGTCCTCTTTAGCAACTGTTCCCTCCCCTGTTCCATCCTCCAGCTCTTCTCTGTCTCCAGCTGCTCCATTCATTTGCAGACCTGCATTTACTTGCAGTGCTCCAGTAGTTAAAACCAGAAAAAAGCAAAAATTCTTTCCAACCAATACCATCCTGCCAGTATCCAAACCGGTCAGCCTGCCGTCTGAGAACCTGCTTTCCGTGGTTCAGCCTGGTGCCTCAGCACCCGCACTTCAACCTGATGCCTGTACCCAGCCTGATGCCTCCATTCGGCCTGAATGCCTCCATTCGGCCTGATGCCTCCATTCGGCCTGATGCCTCCATTCGGCCTGATGCCTCCATTCGGCCTGATGCCTCTACCCAGCCTGATGCCTCTAAACGGCCTGATGCCTCTACCCGGCCTGATGCCTCTATTCAGCCTGATGCTTCTATTCAGCCTGCTGCCTCCAATCAGCCTGCTGCCTCTACCCAGCATGATGAACTGATCCAGCCTGATGATCCTATTAGGCCAGTTGACTCGATGCCCGCTGTTGATCCATACGATCCGGTACCTGATGACCCGGTGCCCGCTGTCATACCTGGTGACCCGATGCCCGCTGTCGAGCCAGACGATCCAATGCCTGATGACCCAGTTCCCGCTGTCATGCCTGGTGACCCGATGCCCGCTGTCGAGCCAGACGATCCAGCGCCAGATGACCGGTGCCTGCTGTCGAGCCAGATGATCCGGTACCTGATGACCCGGTGCCCGTTGTCGTGCCAATTGACTCAGAGCCCGCTGTCGTGCCTGGTGACTTGGTGCCCACTGCCTTGCCAGGTGACGCGGTGCCCGCTGGCGAACCAAATGACCTGATAACCTGGTGACCCGATGCCCGCTGTCGAGCCAGACAATCCAATGCCTGATGACCCAGTGCCCGCGGTCATGCCTGGTGATCCGATGCCCGCTTTCGAGCCAGACGATCCAGCGCCAGATGACCCGGTGCTTGCTGTCGAGCCAGACGATCCGGTACCTGATGACCCGGTGCTCGCTGTCGTGCCAATTGACTCAGAGCCCACTGTTGTGCCTGGTGACTTGGTGCCCACTGCCTTGCCAGATGACGCGGTGCCCGCTGTCGAGCCAAATGACCTGATGCCTGGTGACCCGATGCCCGCTGTCCAGCCAGACGATCCAATGTCTGACCCAGTGCCCGCTGTCATGCCAGTTGACTCGGAGCCCACTGTCGTGCCTGGTGACTCAGTGCTGTCGCTCCGCTTGGGGGTCCAGCGCCCGCCGCCCCGCTGGGGGCCCGAGACCTGTCTCCCCGCCTGGGGGCCCGGTGCCAGTCACCCCGCCTGGGGCCCGGTGCCTGCTGCTCTGCCTGGGGGCCCGGTGCCTGCTGCTCCGCCTGGTGGCCCGGTGCCTGCTGCTCCGCATGGTGGCCCGTGTCCTGCTGCTTCGCATGGTGATCCGATGTGCCTCTGCCCGGAGTCCAGCCCGATGTGCCTCTGCCCGGAGTCCAGCCCGATGTGCCTCTGCCCGGAGTCCAGCCCGATGTGCCTCTGCCCGGAGTCCAGCCCGATGTGCCGCTGCCCGGAGTCCAGCCCGATGTGCCGCTGCCCGGAGTCCAGCCCGATGTGCCGCTGCCCGGAGTCCTGCCCCGATGTGCCGCTGCCCGGAGTCCTGCCCGATGTGCCGCTGCCCGGAGTCCAACCCGATGTGCCTCTGCCCGATGTGCCCCGTTTTGCTCTGCCCGGAGTCCCTGCCCGATGTGCTGCTGCCCAGAGTCCTGCCCGATGTGCCGCTGCCCGGAGTCCTGCCCGATGTGCCGCTGCCCGGAGTCCTGCCCGATGTGCCGCTGCCCGGTGTGCCGTTGCCCGTAGTCCTGTCCGGTGTGCCGCTGCCCGTAGTCCCTGCCCGATGTGCCAGTCTTTGATATCCCGCCAGTTACCAGACCGGGCGGTGGAACATTTTGCCCAGCTAGGACTGTTTGGAGCGTCCTGAGGCCGCTCCTTGAGGGGGGGTACTGTTAGGAATGGACTTGCCAGTAGTGGTGGGACTCACCTGCCTTGTGGGCTGCAGTACCAGGGCTGGCCAGCGGGTGCGTCTCCCAGCAATCAGAGACTCAACCCTGCAGTCAGCCCAAACACCTGAAACTGCTTATGCAGGTGTATTTAAGTGATGGCCAGACCTGCAGTCTTGGCCTTGGTGTGTGTGGTTTTCCTGGGCCCTGTATCTTGTAATCCTGCATTCTTGTTCCTGTTCCTGTGTTCCTGCTAGTACGTTCCCTTGTTGCCAAACTCTGCCTGTTCTGATTACGCTGACCCTCTCCTGCTCTGACCCCGGCTCGTTCCTGACCATCCCTCTGCCTGACCCTCTGTACCACGCTGCCCGCTACCTGCTGAACCTGGCTTGTGACCCCGACCATTCTCTGCCTGACCCCCTGTTCTTACCTGCCCGATTGTTATTGACCCGGCCTGCCTGACGACGCTTGCATTGTATGTACTGTTATCTGTGGGTGGTTGGTTTGGTTTGTTTGCACTGTGTTATGTTTTAGTATTGCACTGCGTTCTGTTTGTATTGTTAGTGTTAATAAATTATATTGTTTATAACAATATCTGAAGTCTGCGTTTCCCTGCGTCAGTTCACATACCTCTGGTCATACCCGGGAGCCCTGACAAATTACCTGGTCAGGAAGGAGGGAAAACCTTCCTGGGCTGAAGTGGTTAATATGAAATAGATTGTAATCACTAGAGATGAGCGAATTATTCAAAAATTCGATTCGGCTGATTCACCGAATTTCAGGAAGAAATTCGATTAGATGCGAATTTGTTCGCTACGAAGTTAACTTATAAAAAGGGTTTCTAGGCTTCAGAGAGCCTTTAAATTAGTGCAGAACACTGTACCTTTAATTTAAATGCCCTTGGAGATGAGGAAGGAGAAGGAGAAGGATGAGTGCTAAGAAGGAGAAGGAGAAGGATGAGAAGAAGGAGAAGGATGAGAAGAAGAGAGAAGGAGAAGGATGAGAAGAAGGAGAAGGATGAGAAGAAGGAGAAGATGAGAAGAAGGAGAAGGAGAAGGATGAGAAGATGGAGAAGGAGAAGGATGAGAAGAAGGAGAAGGAGAAGGATGAGAAGAAGGAGAAGGAGAAGGATGAGAAGAAGGAGAAGGATAGAAGAAGGAGAAGGAGAAGGATGAGAAAGAAGGAGAAAGGATGAGAAGAAGGAGAAGGATGAGAAGAAGGATGAGAAGAAGGAGAAGGATGAGAAAAGAAGGATGAGAAGAAGGAGAAGGATGAGAAGAAGGAGAAGGAGAAGGAGGAGAAGAAGGAGAAAGAGAAGGATGAGAAGAAGGAGAAGGATGAGAAGAAGGAGAAGGATGAGAAGGAGAAGGAGAAGGAGAGAAAGAGAAGGATGAGAAGAAGAAGATGGATGAGAGAAGGATGAAAAGAAAGATGAAAAGAAGTAGAAGAAGGATGAGAAGAAGGATGAGAAGAAGGAGAAAGATGAGAAGAAGGAATGAGAAGAAGAAAGAAGAAGTATGGATGAGAAGAAGAAGGAGAAGAGAAGAGGAGAAAGAAGGATGAGAAGAAGGAGAAGGATGAGAAGAAGGAGAAGGATGAGAAGAAGGATGGAGAAGAAGGAGAAGGTAGAGAAAGAAGGATGAGAAGAAGGAGAAGGATGAGAAAAGGAGAAGGATGAGAAGAGGAGAAGGATGAGAAGAAGGAGAAGGATGAGAAGAAGGAGAAGGATGAGAAGAAGGATGAGAAGAAGAGAAGGATGAGAAGAAGGAGAAGGATGAGAAGAAGGAGAAGGATGAGAAGAAGGAGAAGGATGAGAAGGAGAAGGTGAGAAGGAGGAGAAGGAGAAGGATGAGAAGAAGGAGAAGGATGGAAATGAAGGAGAAGGAGAGAAGATGAGAAGGTCTTGAGAAGAAGGAGAAGGATGAGAAGAGGAGAAGGTTGTTTAGAAGGGATGAGAAGAAGGATGAGAAGAAGGAGAAGGATTTGAGAAGTAGGATGGAAAAGGAGAAGGATGAGAAAAAGAAGGATGAGGAAGGAGTAGGTTGAGAAAAAGGATTGAGAAGAAGGAGAGGGATGAGAAGAAGAAAGGATGAGAAGAGGATGAGAGACCTCTAGAGAATGAGAGAAGAAGAAGAAGGATGAGAAGAGAAGAAGGATGAGAAAGAAGGAGAATTCCAAGCCGGCAAAAAGTGTTATCTGCAGAGCTCCCTAGCTATTTTTTTAGCGGAGCTCTGCAGATACACTTAGCGGAGCTCTCTGCAGATACACTTTTTTGCCGGCTTGGAATTCTTCTAATTTTCATCCTACTTCTTCATCCTCTTCTTCTTTCATACCGTCTGAGGATGAGGATGAAGAAGAAGAAGTAAAGTAGATGAAAATAAGAAGAATTTCCAAGCCGGAAAGAAGTGACTCTGCAGTAGCTCCGCTAAGTGTATGTTTGCAGAGCCCGCTATTTCTGACAGTTCTGTGACATTCCCTCCATACAGCGGTTTCAGAGCTCCTCTAAGTGAGATCTGCAGAATAGAGGAGCTCTGCAGATACACTTTTTGCCGGCTTGGAATTATCTTATTTTTCATCCTACTTCTTCTTTCTTCTTCTTCTTCATCCTCATCTCAGAAAAGAAGAAGAGGATGAGAGATGAAGAGGAAGAAGAAGAAGAAGAAGATAGTAGGGATGAAAATAAGAAGAATTCCAAGCCGGCAAAAATGTGTATCTGCAGAGCTCCTCTATTCTGCAGATACACTTAGAGGAGCTCTGCAGATACACTTTTTTGCCGGCTTGGAATTATACTTATTTTCATCCTACTTTCTTCTTCTTCTTCATTCCTCATCCTCAGCTCTTCTTCTTTTCTTGAAGAAAAGAGGATGAGGATGAGGATGAAAAGAGAGAAGAAAAGAAGTAGGATGAAAATAAAAGAATTCCAAACCGGCAAAAAGTGTATGGATGAAGCAGAGGCTCCGCTAAGTGTATCTACAGCGTTCCTCTATTTTTGACAGTTCTCTGACAGTTCCTTCACATGTACAGCGGTTGAAACATTGTATCTGTTTCCGAATAAAAACATCTGTATCCTAAATGGAAACAAATAGATACAATGTTTCAACCGCTGTACATGTGAAGGAACTGTCAGAGAACACTGTCAGAAATAGCGGAGCTCTCTGCAGGGACACTTTTGCCGGCTGATCGGGAAAAATCCGATTCGCGCACCCGAAGTAGGCAAATATTCGGATTCGACGCGAATCTAATTTTTCCTGAAATTCGTATTGAATTCCACTTCGCCTGGTTCGATTCGCTCATCTCTAGTAATCACCCTATGAGTCCAGTTTAGTGAAGGTTCAGGCTGTTTGGAACCTCTGAAAATAATTGAGGAACTAAAGGGATCAGGTAGCCAGGGGCGGACTGACCATTTGGAAACTCGGGCACTGCCTGAGGGCCCGGGGTCAGTAGGGGGGGCCCCATGAGATGCCCCTGGTACCTTTTTCATAGGCTTTTTTGAGTTTGGGCAAGGAGTCAGGGGCCCCATGATCCCCTATTGCCCGGGAGCCCCCATGAGTTGTCAGTCGCCCCTGCAGGTAGCGAATCTTGATGGTGATTTTATTGCGTTCTCAGTAGTCTAAGCAAGGCCTAAGTGAATGATCCTTCTTTCCAACAAAAATGATTCCAGCTCCAACAGGGGATGATGAGGGATAGATAAAACCCTTTTCCAGGTTCTTGTTAATGTACTGTCAGAGTGTTTTTAACTCTGGCTTATGGGAAGATACAGTCAAAAGTAATCTCTGCACCTGGAAGTAGCCCAATGGGGCAGTTGTAAAACAAGTAAGGCGGACGTGTGTCTGATTTCTTATTGTCGAACGTTTCCAGGAAGTCAAGTTATGCTGGGGCAACAAACAGGCTACTGTTAGAGACCTGCTGAATGCTGAAACCCTTTAAATAGGGTGTTTGGCACCAGTTAAGGGATTGGATTTACATGCATGCATGCCAACACTCGCAGGTGCCTGCACAACATGTCTGTGTGTGTTTTTGTGTAAATGAACATGCTTACAAAGGGTACCGGTGGAAGTGCCTCCAAAAAGACCAAAAATGTTGAAAAAAAACTGTATTCTCTACATTCTAAAAAAAATATCCAATAAACTCAAATTTAATCATACATTTAGGCCAAAATATATTCTGCTAAATGTCTCTTTGGTAAAAAAAAAATCCAATAAGTGTATATTTAGTGTGAAAATTATGGAGTTTACAACTATGGTCTATAAACTGCAATTGATGCAGATTTTACTTTCTGACTGCCTATCACATTACTTGAGGTGCTAAAATTCCAGGGCAGTAACAAAAAAAAACCAAATGGTCCCTTTTTGGAAAGTAGACACCTCAAGGAATTTGCCCCAGGCATGTTGAGTCCATGGAAGATTTTATTTTTTGCCACACGTATTTGGAAAATGACAAGAATTGTTTTATTCTACCCAGTTGTCACTAAAATGATATATTGCTCACATATGCCTTGGGAATATGTGGGATAACACCCCAAAACACATTCTGGTCCAAACTGGACCACTGTAACTATGTATAAAAATATACAGTATCATGCCAATTCTTCTGACTGTGGCTTGTGTCTTCTCATTTAGGGATGCTGGTGTGGCCTTCAAACTGTGCCTCCACAGGTCAATTTTTCCCCTCCATACCTAACACCTGCAGTTCTAATTATTTTTTTAAAGACTCCTCCCGATGACTTGTGTATCCACTTTAAGGCTTGTTGGTGCTGCCGTCAATAAATAGTGACACTGGCCACTTTTTAACCACTAAAACCTAAGGGCTGAAGAGCTAATGATTTTTATGAAGACAGCCACCTCTGTCTTCTCTTTCTGTATTTTGGCTACCAAACTGGGGTGACCCTGGACAGTTGTACCCAACCAAAGCTAAGGGTTCTAGCTCTTTACAGACTATCCACTGTGCAATCCAACCAAGTGTTTTAAAATGGCAACCCTTATAAAATGTAACTACAAAATGATGGAAGCTAAAAGAAAAGCCGTGTTCCTATTGTAGTGTGTTAGGTCCCTCTGTCCACTAACCAAGAAGTAATAGAGGTGATAAAACTATAAAAATACTTACAGTGGATTTTAAATGTTGAAGATTGTACTCAGTTATAGAAAAGGGGCTCTCAGGGGGTTATAAATTACATCTTAAGAGACCTTTAATGAGGATTTCAGCTTTGTGTTCCTACAACACAACAGACTGTCCTGAGGGAATGCCGACAATTTATATAAGAATTAGTAATTATCTGGTACAAATGTCTCCAGGTGAACCTGAGTATCATGTCCAGGCACAACATATATGTTTTCCTATTGATAAATCCTCAGACTGATCATTTGATGACTGCTTTATGCTGAGAAATTTAAAAAATAAAAATTAATTCAAGGAATCTGCCAGAGATTACCTCTTGTGGGTCTATCAGACCATCCACTGACCACGAATACACTTTGTGTGCTCTTCCATCTGATCTCTCTGATAACTGCGGGACTGCCAACATCTTATATAAGAATACATCATTAGCTGCCAGAAATGTCGGCATGTAACCCTGAGTGTAATGTGTAGGCACTCCGTACAGGTTTGTCCTATTAATAAATCCTCAGATCCATCATTTTATTACCTTTTCATAGTAATACATTAAAACAAAAAGAAAAAAAATGTATATTATGAGGAATCAGACAGAGATTATGTCTTTCACTCTTGTGGGTCTATCAGACCATCCACCGACCATGAATGCACTTTTTGGGCTTTTCCTTCTGATCTATCTGATGACTCTTATCACTAATCTTCTTATATTTTTCTTGGTCCTCACTGACCACCATCTGCACAACCCAATGTATTTTTTTCTTGCCAACTTGGCATTTCTGGACATGTCCTATTCATCAGTGACCACACCAAGGATGCTCTATGACTTGGTCACAAAAAGCAGAGCGATATCCATTCCTGCCTGTATATAGCCCAAGTCTTTTTCTACGTCTCCTTTGCTTGTTCAGAACTTTTGTTGCTCTCGGCTATGTCCTACGACCGCTACATTGCCATCTGCCACCCCCTACATTACAAACTGATCATCACTTCGAGGGTCTGTGCTCGTATGGCCTCCATGGTCTGGATTGTAGGATGTTCTCTCTCTTTGGTTCATACTTTACTTTTGCTCAGGTTGTCCTTCTGCAGAACATCTTCCATCCACAACTTCTTTTGTGACCTTCCACACTTATATCAGATTACATGTACTGACCCCTTCATAAACATGGTGGTCATATTCTTAGTAGGTGGTAGTCTTGGATTAGGAGCTGTTCTCTTTACCTTTCTTCCATATGTCTATATTTTCACTACCATCCTCAGAATCCGTAGTAAGACTGGAAAGAGGAAAGCATTCTCCACCTGCACATCACACCTCACCGTGGTCTTCATCTTTTATGGATCTTTAATTTTTATTTACTTGGTTCCCACTTCCAGCAATATGTTCAATTTATACAAACTGTTTACAGTCATATCTGCCCTCATTAACCCATTGCTGAATCCTCTGATCTACAGCCTGAGGAACAAAGATCTCATGGAGGCACTTCTGAGGTTTTATTATCACTTAAGGTTGATCCGAGCATCATGCTGAAAATATCATTGTGAAATGTAACATTTGTATATTTCTGGGCCATTGTTAGTTGACTAAACATTTCAGTATTGTCTTTCATAAAATGTAAACCTGTCAGGGGCTCATAGCTGTACATACCCTTGCATGACCAGGGGGTCACTGTAACCCCACAGATCAAATGTAGCAGTTTCAGTAGGCTTTTTGGTTAACCTCCAAGTAACCCTGTGACTATTTTTCTTGCCATCATTTTTTACATATATTTTATGCATATTATAAGGCCTCCAAGTGGCACAAAGTGTTTACAGATATTAAGCTCAGATTTTTCAAAAGCTGTAAATTGAATTTGCATGTGGCATGGTTGTTGGTGCCAAATGCGCTGGTCTGAGTATTTAAAAAATTGCTGATCTACTGGGATTTTCATGAACAACCATCTCTAGGGTTTACAGAGAATGGTTCAAAAAAGAGAAAATATCCAGTGAGCGGCAGTTGTGTGGAGGAAAATGCCTTGTTGAGGTCAGAGGAGAATTAGTTTGACTGGTTCAAGATGATAGAAAGACAACAATAACTCAACCACTCATTACAACCAAGGTATGCAGAATACCACCTCTGAACGCACAACACATCCAACCCTGAAGCAGATGGGCTACAGCAACAAAAGACCACACCGGGGGGCCACTCCAGTCAGCTAAGAACAGGAAACGGAGGCTAAAATTCGCACCAGCTCACCAAAACTGGATACTAGAAGATTGGAAAAACATTGCCTGGTCTGATGAGTCTGGATTTTAGCTGTGACATTCAGATGGTGGGGTCATAATTTGGTGTAAACAACATGAAAGCATGGATCCATCCTACCTTGTATCCATAGTTCAGGCTGGTGGTGGTGGTGTCATGGTGTGGTGGATCCATTCTGCCTTGTATCAACAGTTCAGGCTGGTGGTGGGGGTGTCATGTTGTAGTGGATCCATCCTGCCTTGTATCAATGGTTCAGGCTGGTGGTGGTGGTGTCATGGTGTGGTGGATCCATCCTGCCTTGTATCAACAGTTCAGGCTGGTGGTGGGGATGTCATGGTGTGGTGGATCCATCCTGCCTTGTATCAATGGTTGAGGCTGGTGGGGGTGTCATGGTGTGGGGGATCCATCCTGCCTTGTATCAATGGTTCAGGCTGGTGGTGGTGGTGTCATGGTGTGGGGATCCATCCTGCCTTGTATCAATGGTTCAGGCTGGTGGTGGTGGTGTCATGGTGTGGGGGATACATCCTGCCTTGTATCAACGGTTCAGGCTGGTGGTTGTGGTGTCATGGTGTGGGGGATACATCCTGCCTTGTATCAATGGTTCAGGCTGGTGGTGGTGGTGTCATGGTGTGGGGGATACATCCTGCCTTGTATCAATGGTTCAGGCTGGTGGGTGGCGGTGTCATGGTGTGGGGGATACATCCTGCCTTGTATCAATGGTTCAGGCTGGTGGTGGTGTCGTCATGGTGTGGGGGATACATCCTGCCTTGTATCAATGGTTCAGGCTGGTGGTGGTGGTGTCATGGTGTGGGGGATACATCCTGCCTTGTATCAATGGTTCAGGCTGGTGGTGGTGGTGTCATGGTGTGGTGGATCCAACCTGTCTTGTATCAACAATTCAGGCTGGTGAAGGTAGTGTCATGGTGTGCGGGTGATTTTCTTGGCACTAGCAAGGTGGGCCTAATAATGTGCCCAGTGAGTGTAAATAACCATCAGACAAGGTACAAGAAGCATCAGGTAAGAGAAACAATTATTTGCAAACATCACAAGATAGATACATAATTACATAGTTATTCAGGTTAAAAAAGACACAGGTCCATATAATTCAACCAACAGAAAAAAAAAAATCAATAAAAACGAAACCTCCGTATACACAATCCTACATCCACAGTTGATCCAGAAAAAAAACAACCCCTATGAGGCATGGTCCAATTTTCTCCAGTGGGGGAAATAAAGTCCTTCCTGTTCCCCCTGGATGAACAATCCACAAAATATCCAATGAAATAATCATAAACTAATGGCCACTATTCAGTGCTCCTACTCCTTGACCTCTCTGCGGCCTTCGACACAGTCGACCACCCCCTCCACCTCAAAAAACTACACTCCCTCGGCCTCAGAGATTCTGCTCTCTCCTGGCTCTCATCCTACCTGTCACAACGCTCCTTCAGCGTTACCTATAATGCTACCACCTCCCCCTCACTCCTCCTCTCTGTTGTGGTCCCTCAAGGCTCCCTCCTCGGGCCCCTTCTCTTCTCCATCTATACCTCCTCCCTTGGCCAACTCATACACTCTCACGGCTTCAACTACCACCTCTATGCCGATGACACACAAATCTATCTCTCAACCCCCCACCTCACCCCCTCGGTCTCTGCCCGAATCACACACCTACTGAGCGACATATCAGACTGGATGTCGCTCCACTTCCTTAAACTGAACCTCTCCAAAACCGAGTTTCTTGTCTTCCCCCCAGCCCGGACCCCACCCCCCACTGATTTCTCCATCACATCCAACAACGCTACCATCAAACCCGCCCTGCAGGCCAGAGTACTGGGTGTCATTCTGGACTCCAACCTATCCTTCCAGCCCCAAGTCCAATCTTTAACAAACTCGTACAGACTCCGCCCCCGCAACATGCAGACTCCGCCTCCGCAACATGCAGACTCCACCTCCGCAACATGCAGACTCCACCTCCGCAACATCGCCAAAATCCGCACGTTCCTAACCCCAGAAACCACTAAACAGCTCATCCACTCCCTCATCATATCACGACTTGACTACTGCAACTCCCTCCTCACTGGCCTGCCTCGCCGCTGGCTATCCCCGCTTCAGTCCATCCTGAATACGGCTGCCAGACTCATTCACCTTTCCAACCGCTCTGTCTCCGCCACCCCCCTCTGCCAATCCCTCCACTGGCTTCCGATTGCACAACGGATCAAATTCAAAATCCTAACACTGACGTACAAAGCCGTCCACCATACTGCCCCCGAACTACATCACTGACCTAATATCCAAGTACCGCCCAACACACACACAAGGCCTCACAAGGCCTCCTTCTCTCTAGTTCCCTGGTCTCCTCCTCCCATGCCCGCCTCCAGGACTTCTCCAGGGTGTCACCCATCCTCTGGAACTCCCTGCCCCAACCCATCAGATTATCACCTACTCTCCTCTCCTTTAGGCGCACCCTGAAAAAAACCCATCTCTTCAGGGAAGCCTAGCCCACCCCCTGCTAACTTGCCGACCTCCTCCACTCTTCCTACCACTCCATCCCCCACAGCTATCTCCTCCTGTGCCACCATCCCCCCCTCCTAGATTGTAAGCTCCAAGGAGCAGGGCCCTCGAACCCCTCGTGTATCACATTGTATTGGTATTGTTCTGTCGCATGTTCTGTCCCCCTCTGTAATGTACAGCGCTGAGCGAACTATTGGTGCTTTATAAATACTGTAAAATAATAATAATAATAATCATAAACCAGTACAGTGGGGATAGGAGAGGGTTGCATCCTTTCCACCATAGACTTCTAGGTGAACCTAATATTGGACTTGGTCATGGATAGAATAATTAGTGGAGTCAAAAAATGTGTGGTTCCAATGGGCAAATAAGTGTGTAAAGGGGTAGAGGGACAGGGAAAAGTGGGGGAGGGGAGGGCGGAAGAGAAGGTGGTTGTGAATAATGTAGCCACAGTTTTCATAGTTTGAAACTTTTCATGGAATTTTTTTTAAAGCTTGTTATTGTGTTTCATTATCTTTTCATTTGACATAATTTAGTTGAGTCTGTTTTTAATGGTTTTGAGGCTCTGACTATCGTGAGCTTGGTGGCTGTGAAATAGTAAGTGTTCAACACAAAAGACAACCATGAAGGGATTATTGAGTAAAGCCTCAAAGGGATCTCTGTGAACGTTTATATGGAGAAAATGGAAAATAAGGCTGATCCAAAATGCAGATACTTTAGGGAAGTGCCACCAAATATGGGTCATAGGGCCGATTTGGAAGCAACCTCTGAAGCAGCCTCTAAAAACCCAACTGGTTGGTGTGAATTGTGCTAAACGAACAGAACTTTGTAAGAGTTCTCTAGGGCCAGGACGCTTCAGGAGGTTTTGGAAGGAGTCAGTAACAAAGAAAAATGGTTCAAAAATTAACTCACCAGCCAGCTTGCCAACAACCAAATTGTCCTGTCTAACAGTATGCGTTAAAAACAGGGGTTTAGTTAGCACACATTTGCAAATACATACGTAAGCCACGGAGCCATGTCACGGCACCCTGATATCTGTGGTCCTAACTCTACAAATTTGAGAGTCCCCATAGTAGAGGTACACGCATTTAAAGGAT